AAACCCTAAACCCTAATAAACCCTAATAAACCCTAAACCCTTCTTATTAAATCTAAGATTTTCTAGCTGAGTATTATACTCTTTATTGAAAGAATTAAACTTATTCTAAATTATATTAAAGTATTTATTCTTTAAAGCTGGCTTATTACTATTATTAACTTTTATAAATTAATTAAATAATTTAGATAATCAGTGAGTTTCTTATAATTTTATAGATATTATTAATTTATTTATATTAATTTATTATCTTAACCGGTTCTGGTATATTCTATTTACTAATATTAATAATTATTTTTATTATATAATTTATAGTTTTTTATTATTTAATAATTTAATTTCTGTCCAGACTCCTGGTTATTTATTAATAATATTATAAATTTTTCTAGCCTGGTTTTTATTAGTAATTTTCAGTTATTTCTAAGATTACTGCTATTTCTATTTATAGTTTTTTTAATTAATAACCTATCTTGCTGTAATTAAAATATAAATAATTTTTTTTATATTTTTTAAACTTTTTTTTAAAAACTTTATTTAATTAAGTCTAGTACCGCGTTGTATTCAGCTTTATTAATTTTAATCTATAAAAATCTTTATATCCCACACTTCTAGGCTATACTGACTATTTAATATTAGTTTAATAATTTTATTAATTATTTTATTAAAATATAGACCTGCTAGTCTACTAGTCTTTTTTTTATTTTATATTATATTTATATAACTTATTATTAATTTTAACTATTACTGTAATTATTCGCTGCAAAATATTTAATTATTTTTACTAAATAAATTTCTCTTAAATCTCTATTTTAAATTTTTTTTTAAATTATATAATATAAGTATTTTTATCTCAGTCTAAGTAATTGATGACTTACAGAAATTTAAAAATATATTTAAATATTAATTTAGTCTGCTTAATTTACTATAATTTTTATTTAATATTATATACTATATTAATATTCCTGAATATTTGTTTAAGATATTTCTTAAATTTAATATAATTAATAAATATTTTCTTAATATTATTATCTTAATCTTTTATTAATTTCTTCTGGTATTCATGAATATACAGTTTAAACTAATTAAATATTATTCTAGTTAAATAAATAAATATAAAAAAAGTCTTATCAGCCTTATTCTTGAGTTTCTTTTTATTTATATTAAGATATAAGTCTAGCTGGATCAAGAAAATCTTAAACTTTAATTTATTATTATTAAATAATTCTAGTAATCTGATTTTAATAAACTTAATTATTAAATAATTTTTAAATAACTGGTTCTATTACTTCAAAGTTATAATATTTTTTTATAACTAATTAACTATATTTATTAATTTTTATATTATTAGACTCTGTTACTATTCTTTTTTTTAAATATTAGAATCTTGTTATAAAGTATATAACAAGCTTAAAATAATTAATATAATAAATAATTATAATAGATAATACTTATACTAACTGGTATTTAATATATTAAATTCTTAAATTACTTTTCTGTTCCTGTTAACTTAGTTTTACTAATATATATATTATCAAATTAAATTAAGATAGTATCAGGCTAATAATTTATTCTAAAATAGCTTAATCTTAAATAAAAGAAGAGAAGTAAAGCCAGATAATACTATATAATTATTTATAAGTAAGTACAGATAAGTATGATATTACTAAATTTCTAAAAATAAATTATTCAAAAATAATATAAATTAAGCATGAAGAACAGAACTAATTAAATATATAAATAAATATTTTTATATATTCTATTCTTTATATACTATATTATATATTATCTAAAATAGATTAATAGTTAATCTAATCATGGCTTCAAGATTCTAGTATACTCTGAGTATACTTTTAATAGTAAATCTAATGATAGATAATTATATAATATAAGACTATCCTGGATATTATAAAAGTAATCCAGAATTCTTCTTAATAAGAGTTTCTGATTACTTGAGCACTGCCTCTATCAGCACTTTCTGCCTAATGAGTCCGCCTTACTAGTAGGTCGACTAGCAGGGGTCCGTAACAATCAGCAAGAAATTATAATTATATTATAATATTTATTATTTTTTTATTATATATTTTATTAATTATATAATCAGACTCTGTTCTGTAGATTATCTAAAAAAATTATTCTTAACATTAAAAATTTTTTTTTAATTTTAAGAGTATATTACCTGTTAGACAAGAAGGAATAATTAATATTTAGAATAAAGTCTCAGGATTTCTAAGATTTTATATATCAGGATTAGTCAGTATGTAATAATGAGGCTGGTAGCTGAGTCCTCCAGTAGGGACCTATCCTGTAACAGGATCCTCTCACTGTCTTATCCCATAGACTATCCAGTAAAAGACTAGAATTCTGAGTTAACAGACTCAGAGCGCGCATCACTTATAAACTTCAAATTCAGTATTCACTGGTCATGTGATAGTTTGTCACAAAGAGCACCCCGACTGCGCTATATTAAAGTAACCCAATCTATCTATCTATCTATCTAACTTCTCTTGATTATGTCATTGTAGTTTCCAGGCTCTCATAGTTAACTAATGTGATGACCTATCACATGACCAATAAAAATAGTAAATTGAAGTTTATAAGAGATGCGTATTCTGAGTCTGTTGACTCAGAGTTCTAGTCTTTTACTAGATAGTCTATGGGATAAGACAGCCAGAGGATCCTGCCTGAAGCGCACCAGGCGGGATCCTGATAACTGACAGAATATTAGAACCACACGGAGCCAATTGAAGACCATACCGAGCTTTCACCGTTGTCCCGATCATGTGAAGTGTCGCTGACAAATGCAGTCGGCTCGGACAGATCCCGAGAACAAAAATAACTTCAGAGGAAAATATATTCCGCTACCATATCCCGCGCCACCTGGGGACCCATCTCGGCAATTCTCAATGACCTGAAATTGCGAACAGGAATGAGGGCATGATACAGAGCTTCAAAGCCCTCCATATATATCGACTTTGTGCAGGGGTATGAACCCAATATCAACGGTTTCAATTGATCAACAACCTTACAACCATCTCCCATAACATGCTTCCACTATGCGGAATACGAAACTTGAGAACCTGGTGGAAGAGGGAGACAAAAGACATCACCTCCACTCCGTAGAGCTGGAATGTGTCGGAGTGGGTCTATGATGAGCTGAATTATCTTTGCCCCTGGCTCACATTACAAATAACCTGAGGTAGATTCTGAGTATAAAGCGGTCGCGAAGGCGAAAGGCTAGATAGGACACTTTTGAACCGGACTGTGTGTGTGTCAAATTCTCTTACAGAAATACTCTGAATCATGTCTCTTGCTGATTCTCGCCTCTTTCATCCCCTGAAGGTAGGAAACGTGGACCTACAGCATCGAGTGGTGCTCGCACCTCTGACTCGCTTCCGGGCCGACGATGACCACGTTCCTATGCCTATAACAGTCGATTATTATGCTCAGCGTGCCTGCGTCCCAGGAACTCTGCTCATCACTGAAGCGACCTACGTTTCCAAACGTGGAGGAGGCATGCCGAATGTCCCTGGCATTTGGAACAAGAACCAGATCGCTGCCTGGAAGAATATAACCGATGCGGTCCATAAGCAGAAGTCGTTCATTTTCATGCAGCTATGGGCCTTGGGTCGTGTGGCTGTGCCCCAAATCGCACGCGACGAGGGCTTTGACATTGTTAGCTCCAGCCCTGTGCCGCAAGCCAACCCCATGAGTCCGGAGATCGTAACGCCCAGAGAGCTTACCGTCCATGAGATCAAACAATTTATTGGGGATTTTGTCCAGGCAGCCAAGAACGCCATGGAAGCTGGATTCGATGGAGTGGAGATTCATGGTGCTGGGGGTTATCTGATCGACCAGTTTACCCAGGACACTTGCAACAGACGTAACGATGAGTATGGTGGCTCAATCGAGAACCGATCCCGCTTCCTGTTGGAGGTAGCCAGAGGAGTGGCTGATGCTATTGGCGCGGAAAAGGTGGGGGTTCGACTCTCGCCGTGGCAGTCATACCAGGGAATGGGAATTAAGGAGCCAATCCCTCAATTCACTCATGTCATTTGCGGGCTGAAGGAGTTAAAGTTAGCTTATTTGCATCTGATTGAGGCCCGAGTGAACGGAACAGAAGATGTCGATAAGCACGACAGTAATACTCCCTTTATCGAGGCTTGGGGCAAGATTAGCCCTATCATTTTGGCCGGTGGCTATACCCCTTCCTCAGCGAGCGAACGTCTGGACAGGCAGGATAAGGAAGAGAACCTTCTCATTGCTTTTGGGAGACATTTCATTCCGAACCCAGACTTAGCCTATCGCGTCAAGAATGGCATCCCCTTCGTACCATACGATCGGAGCCTTTTTTATATGCCGAAGTCCGAGAAAGGACTCGCAGACTATCCTTTCAGTGCAGAATTCATACGGGAAAACGAAAAAGGGTCAAGTGCTACTTAAGGGACAATCTCGGCTGGTGCTGTGCCGAGTCTAGGATGTTGACTGTTTCTATTCATATCATTACCACATATCTTTTTCACAAGTCCTGTGGACCACGGGGTTTCCGGAGACTAGAGCGCTACGAGTCTCAAAATATCTTGAAGAAGAACATTCATTCCTGCTTGTGTTCATTAGATATAACTAGAATGAGTAACTAAATCACGTGCTTGGCCCATATGTTCGATAGCTCACCCCGTGTTAGTATGAAGGTGGGTCTGTTTCAACCTGATATAATACCACAGCAATAAGATTTCCTACCATAGGCCTTTGCATATATAATGTCAACGCGATAACCGATCAGGCGACGGAGATATTTCTGTCAGCACATATATTAAAGGACACCCTAAATTTTCTTATCTTTCCTTCAACTTCGCATCAAATAAAACCCTCGTGATAGAATACTGTATACTATGTATTTAGAGCTTACATAAAAGACCTGTTGGCAGGCATTCCCAAATCGACATAGGGAAGACGTTTTACATTATTATACAAAAAATTAAGCTTTTGATATTATAAAACGGTGGAAATATTGAGGTTGATAGCTAGTAACTTGGGATTAGCTATCCGAATGCTGGGTCGCGCGACCTTGTATCACGTCAAGGTTGACTTATACTGGCGATAGTTTGTCGGGGAGTGACCAAGTGTATTTGTCTAGCGTTGCTGACATTTTTCTTCACCGGTACCGTCCGGTAGCTATGTCATGTACTTCGAAATTAGCAATTTCTTTCACAGACCAGGTCCGAATATTGCCCACAACGGAGGTGCAACACGTCAACTTGGTCTTGATCTATCTAGGCCTACGACCGAGAGCGGAGAAACTTGCATATTTCCAACTTTGTTATGCGGGGAAACCGCGGGAAAATATTCTCCGCACCTCGTATCATGCCGAGGAAGTCAGGATCCACGAGGGCAAGGTGAAAAAGGTTCCGGTATTGACCAATGCTTGCTCCACTTAGGAGTCGTTTATCAGTTCAAGTCAGGCTACACAAAAGATAGTCGACGGAAGACATTATCCGCCCTGATACGAGCCATGTCTACGGACATGTCAATACCCCAGATTTCGCCCTGCAATTTGTTTATAGGGTTATAGCGTCTTGTTCGTTTGTCTACTCCAGACATCTTGTTCTTTTTTCTACTCAACTCCCCTATACTCGTTTCAAAATCGCAATGTCTGAGAAAGCTGAAGTTCCACTTGCGGACGTTACCCCGGATCAGGGTCATGGCACCTACCTTGACATTCAGACTATCCCCAGCGCGCGTGAGCAGGCAAGAGGCCTTTGGAATTCTAAGAGAGCTGTGGGGGCAGGTGAGTGACTACCCTCTCCTTCAAAATATCATTATGTGACAAAGGCCAAATCTGACTGACTTGGCAGCCCTCGCGTGCTCCTCGGCGGCAACACTAGTTGGTTATGATACGACCCTGATCGGCTCCATTATTGCTAATGAGCAGTTCATCATACAATTTGGTGTATACGACAACTCCTTGCAACAATGGACACTCCCTGCTACACACCAGATGATATGGACGATGGTACAGTTTATTTCTGCTGCAATGGGCGCTGTGATCGTTGGATACTTGAGTGATCGGCTGGGCCGGCTGGTCTGTCTATATGGCAATGTCGTGTGGGTACCCTGATCCGCGGCCTTCTTCAAAGCATGCTTCCCTAATCGTGGCCAGTAGGTTGACAATCCTTGGTACTCTGATGGAGCTCTTCTCTTCTAACTGGAAAGTCTGGGTCGTCGGGAAGTTCATCATGGGGTGCTCCATGGGCTTCATGCAATCTATTGTGCCCTCTTGCATCTCCGAGCTGGCACCGTTCCATATGCGAGGGTTTCTATTGTCTCTTTTCCAGTTTTGGCTTATATTGGGAACGTTCTTCGCCGCCTGTGTCTTAGAGGGCACTTCGACAGTTGACGGACCCTGGTCCTGGAAGGCCGCCATCGCCTCTCAGTTCGGCATCTCTCTGATCTGTCTGCTTTTGGTTTTCTGCATGGTCCCAGAATCTCCTTATTACCTCGTTCGACAAAACCGTATTGAAAGTGCACGTGAGGTCTTGCTGATGCTGCGCGGTAATGAACTCTCCTACAACGTGGACGAGGATCTAGATATGATTATTAGGACGATCGAGCTGGAGGAGCAAGCCGCCGCTAGCTCCGCCTCATACGCAGACTGCTTCATTGGGGTGAACCGGCGCCGCACGTTTGTGGCCTGCTTGCCAATTGCGATGCAGCAGTTCATGGGCTTCCCCCTGTGCGGCAACTATCTCTCCTACTTCCTGAAGTTGGCGGGTCTGAAGAACGCTTTCTTGGTCCAGGTTCTTTCCTCGTTGCTTTCTCTGTTTGCCATCCTCCTGGCCTTTGCAATGATCGAGCGAGTGGGGCGCCGGCTGCAGCTCCTTGTCGGTTGCTGCATGATGCTCCCCTGCCTGCTGGGCTTGGGCATTCTTGGACTTGTCAACTACGGTACCGCCGCGAACGGGCGAGGATTAGCGGGCCTCGCCATTATTTGGTCAATCTTCTACTACTTCTCCTGCGGCGCGGTGGGCTGGACCGTATTAGGCGAGGTCTCCTCCACACGGCTGCGCACCAAGACAAGCTCGGTTGCCGTCGGCGTCAACGCCATCATTAACATGGCGTGGGCGATGGCAGTTCCTTATCTAATAAATGTGGATGAGGCCAACTTGGGCCCCAAGTCGGCCTTTATTTTCTTAGGAACAGGTTCGGCGCTCTGCCTAATCGTATATTTTACTGTTCCCGAGACCAAAGGCAAGACCTTTGAGCAGCTGAATGCCTTATTCGAACAGCGAAGGTCGGCTCGGAGATTTTGAGGCGGACCTAGAACTAGTACATCTTTCGCCTTGTTCCTGTTTATTTCTTCCAGCAATCGCTTTTTACAACTTTATGTGTAATCTGGTAGGGAGGCCAAATCCCTTGATCAATGACTGTTGTATCCTGCGTTATATTAGCCTAGAACCTCATGCTGTAGGTGTATGTGTGTGTTCATGGTTTTTAATTTTTATTTCTTCTCCATTTTGGCGTCCCTGTCACTTAACATCCGGGTGGATTACTCCATGTGACCCCACATGGACATGCGTGATTGAACTGCTGTAAGCAGAAAAACATCCTAAAACTGCCGTGCAATATCTCAAAGGATGATCCGAACGCTAGTAAATACCATTTTGGATTCAATGCGGAAGAACCTGGCTAAGAGCTTCGTGTCACCTCAGTGACAGAACATCCCATCATTGTTATTTCCTATACACGTAGTTCACTTTCTTATCATCTGGATATATGACAGAGGTGTTTGATTGTATTTTCGTGTCTTTTTCTCTATGTATTGTATTCCACTATTGACGGTCCACTAGCTCTATGGGAATACATTCATTCTTCCCGCCTCATCGCTCTGATGCAGCTGCCTTAGCACCCTCGGGATCGTAGGCTTCGACCTCAATCTCAACTCGCATGTCGTCGGCGCCAAGGCGGCCAACCTGCATGCACGTCCATAGCGCCTTGTGGTTGACCATCCACTTGCGAAAATTGCGAACCATGGCATCCTGTGCCTCTTCGACTAAAGCTATGTGGTAGGAGCGGACCTTGTATACCTGAGACCAGCCCTGACCACCGGCGTTGCGCAGCTGGAAATCGACATTGGCAAAAGCCTGGTCAATCTGGGCGTTGATGTCGGTGTAGATCTCGAAGGGTTCCTCCTGCTTCCAGCCACCTACAGTCTTTATTACTTTTCGCTTTTTCCATTGGTTTTTTTCTTCCCCTCCTGCGCTGGTGCAGTGCGTTTTTCATTGTGGACCAGTCGCTGCGGAGGAGAGGGGGAAAGTGACATACCCTGACCGGAGAGGTGGATGGTGTCGCCGACGCGGACGGCTTGGTTGTAGGCGTGGGACTTCAAGGCAGCCTCACCAAAACCTTTGTTGTAGTAGCGGAGAAGGGACATGATTGTTTCCGTTGTTGATGGGTTGATGGCTTGATGAGACTCTGAGCGGGGCTTAAAGTCAACTGGGAGAATTATTATTTATTGTTGACACATGGATGCCGAGGAGAAGGATGGTTTAAACAATCGAGCGGAAAATGTATTCCGCCTCATAATATCAGCTGGCTTGCGGGAGATGTTCTGCGCCACACGCGCATAGACTTCTCGCGGAAAATACTTTCCTTGCTTTATTCGGGACCAAACTACAGATTACATGATGGAAAAACCAGTATATCCATCAGTGACCCGAGGAATGCTTGGATAGTGCCTAGTATTTGTCTGCAACGCTCCGCCGCCATGGCATCTTGGTTGATTGACACACCGCTAGGAGAGCTCATCCGGGGATCTCTAGGATCGCGATGGTTACCCTTCCCCGAAGAACAGGAACACTGGACCCTCAGCGATGCTGGCTTTGCCGACGGTGAGAAGAACGAGCACCCATTGCAGCAACAACTGTGCCCCCTTCCCGCCCAGCTCGTGGGCTGGTATGGAAACGATGACCCGGCCAATCCCCAAAATTGGTCGCCCATGAAGAAGGCCCGGGTCTATTTGACCATAAACTATTGTGCCTGCACGGTGTATATGTCCTCCAGCATTTATACTTCGTCCCAGGATGCGGTAGAAGAGGTATTTCATGCTTCTAGCACGGTGGCCAGTCTTGGTCTCGCCTTGTTTGTGCTGGCATACGGAATTGGTCCCCTCTTATTTGCACCTATCTCCGAGGTACATTCAATTGGACGTAATATTCCATATATTGTCTCTCTGGCGATCTTCATCATCATATCTGTGCTCACGGCCACTGCATCAAATTTGAGTGGCCTCTTAACGTTGCGCTTCTTGCAAGGCTTCTTCGGCTCGCCTGCCCTCGCAACCGGGGGTGCATCGTTGTCAGATGTGAGCGATACAGTCTGGAAGCCGTTCGCTCTGTACACTTGGGCCTTCTTCTCTTTCGTGGGACCGTCGATCGGGCCCGTGCTTAGTACGGTGGCCGTAGAAAGGCTCGGATGGAGGTGGAGTCTGTGGGAGATCGTCTTTCTCACCACCCCGGCGTTCCTGTTGATGGCAAGTGCCGCCTGACCAACCCCCCCCCCTCCGGGCGGAGATGATTGACCATATCGACTGACTGGCAGGTCTACCGAGCAGCTCATTCTTCCCGAAACATCTGGCCCAAACATCCTGTACCGCCGTGCTCAACGCCTGAATCGGCGCTTCCCTAGGCGTGAGTTTCATCTGGCCGAGGACAGCACAGTGCCCGACCGTCGGGCATTGCAGGCCATGCTTGTGCAGGCCCTGGTCACTCCGTGGCAAGTGCATCTGCTCTCTCCGGCGATCATGTTCAGCAGTGTATACTGCGGCCTCGTATATGGCATTTTCTACACGTTTTTCGAGACCTTTCCGATTGCCTACACTGAGATCCATCACATGAGCTCGATCTCTACCGCGCTCGTGTACTTGTCAACCATGATCGCGGTTATCCTGGTGGGTATTCCCTACCTTATCTACATCTACTGTGTGGTCAATCCGATCGTCGCGCGCGGCGAGCGTATTACCCCCGAATGGCGGCTAATCCCGGCGGTGATCGCGTCATTCATTATCCCGGCGGGTCTATTCCTCTTCTCCTGGACGGTGCGGACAGACATCCACTGGATGGTCCCTACTGTTGGCGTGGTATTCGCCACGGGTGGCATGTGCATTGTGCTACAGAGCATTTTTGTGTACATTACACTGGCATACACACAGTATGCGGCCTCAATCCTTGGGGGCAATGGTTTTATAAAATCGTGTGTGGCATGCGCCGCTATCTTGTGGTCTGCTCCTCTATATAATGACATGGGGCTTCCCGTTGGTGTGTCAATTCTGGGAGCGTTGTGTGTCCTGGGAGTGGTAGGCATCGTGTTGTTGTACAGATTCGGAGGGATTCTCCGCGCAAGGAGCCGATTTGCACAGTGGAATGAGAAATAAAACATGGGGCGACTGGGAAGCACACGCATAGTATAAGAATATCGGTCATGCTCACTTTCCAATGAAAAGAAACAACTTGACCATCATCAATGGTTATTGAGTGCTATATCAGAATTACGTAACTGGTGCCCAGCTTACTTTACAATTTGTAGCAATCTACCAAGCATTGGATAATATACCCGCGTAAACATATCTAGCTCAGGCGTTCGACATAGCAAATTGATAGTCACCTTGCGTCCCCTTGTTAAATGTTGGCTGTTCGTACTAGGGCTGCATATAGCAATGGTGACTGAGGAATATATATTCCGCCACTTTGGTTTGAAGGCGGGTAAGGGACAGCTGGTTCATGAATCGTCAAGGTACAAATCGCACGAGTAGGTACATTTTACTCTCACCCTTCATAAACTATCCCTTTCCTGGTTTACAACCACCCCTAGAAAACCTTACACAATGACCGCCACTTTGCCCGTGCCTCTAAAATTCGGTATCCACAAGCATCAGCCCCAGATGGAACCGATGGTGCTGGACGAGAAAAGGATCCCGCCTCGCCGTCAACAGCCATCTACACTGCCATCCCACCACAGTGGATACATCACCCGCCAAGTCGGCGGTGAATTGAATCTAGAGCACTGCACCGACCTTGAAATCAAACCTCCGGGCCCCGGCGAAGTTGTCGTGAAACTTCTCTACCTAGGCATTTGTCGGACAGTGAGACTTCCCGCCGCCTCCCATCAACGCATAGGGTAAACAATGAAACTAAAGTTATCCATGGAAGGACGGCTGCTTCGCCCTCGGTGAACCAGACCTCCCGCAGACCAACTTGATTGTCGGCCACGAATCCCTCGGCACTATCGTTGTCTCCCCCTCTGACTCGACCCTCCTACAGACCATCGTCGCTACCCGATTCCTTGTATCCACCTGCGGCACCTGCAGTTACTGCATTCGTCACCTCCCCGAATCCTGTGTGCACCGCACAACCTATCCCGCCCTCACTGGTACCATGCAGGAGTACATCACTGTCCCCTATCGACACCTCCAACCACTCCCACAAGACTACGTGACTCATCTCCGGGCCGATGGTGGCATGGCACTTTATGTCGCAGCGTTCTGCTCTGGTGCCGCCGCTCTGAAGAGCCTGCGCACCGCAGCACCGCGGCTCGGCGATGTAGTGCTGGTATCTGGGGTGCTTGGGGCGATTGGCCATCTAGTCGGCATGATCGCCAAGAAGGTGTATGGGGCCCGGGTGGTCGGGGTAGATTTAGGGTGGAAGTGGAATCGCCTGAACACGGTGCCGCAGATGATCGAGACGACCAGTGGGGATGGGTGCGTGGGGTTTGATGTAAGTCAGGTGTGTGATGCGTTTGTCCCGGCCTGTGAATGTCCGCTTGATCAGTTGTCGCAAGATCGTTTCCTACGGCAATTGGAGAGAGCATGTGCAGAGCTCCGAAAGGAAGACGTGACGTTCACCCCGGCTGGACGGGCAGATTCGGTGATAGTGTGTGCCAGTTCAGCGGCGGCATTCCAGCGGCTTGAGGACCTGGTACGGGACGGGGGAAGTATCATTATTGTTGGGTAAGTTTCCCTGCGCAACCCTCTTCAAAATAGGATGAGTTCGTGGTTCTGATGGTGAGAGTAGAGCACCCCGCGGACCCTGTATGGTACAGGTGCCCCTGCGGAGTTTGCTGGACCGCCAGCTGCGCATCCAGGGTTCCCTGATGGGCACCTGGGAGGAGTCCCTGCAGGTCATGCAGTGGATCCACGACTGCACCATCACCCCATACGTGCACAAGGTTAACCTGGCCGATGCAGGGCGACAGCTTTCTGATTGTGTGGATTGCAAGACATTCGGAAAGGGAATCATACGTATTCATTCTTAAGGCTGTGTATTCTTACAATGAAAGCGCGTGCGTATATGAGAGGAAATATTTGTTTACTGTCCATAGAACCAATGGATCATCCGAATTCCGTTAGCCCCAGGCGTTTCAATATAGAAAACCAGGCATTCCAAACTCCAGTCCATGCTCCTGAACTAAGTTATACTCGAGAAAGGACGAGAGCGACAGGGCTGACTGGGTGACGGGATTAGGAAAGGCCTCAGGAAAAGGATCAGGAAAAATGTCAATGCTGTCTAATACAGATACATCTGGCAATGCTGGCTCGTAATTAGGGACCTGTTGATGGTACAGTCGGAGGAATCCGAAACGTATGTGAGAAGGAGAGGCCTACTCACTAGGAATCATGGTTTCTCCACTCAGATGCGAGCTCAAATCCGTCCTCGTGCTCGACAAGCGGTCCAGCGCTGTTCGCAGATTTTGACAGAACCGCTTCGCACAGCTCCATGACGTTGACAATTCCCCCAGCACCTGCAGGCAACTTTCGATCTCGCTGCGCCCAATGCCATTTACGCTGTACTCGCCCAGGAAGACAACCGCCGCCGACACGATGGCATGCGTCGCCGAGATCGGACTCCGGCGGAAGCTACTAAACTGTTGCTGATATTTCTGTGCCGTGGCCAGAATTGCCCGCGCTGCATTGCGACACAGTTTCTGCGCCGCCTCTTGCGTGTTCTCCGCCGATGTCGGCCAGGAGCGCAGGAATGGTCGCGCCAGGAGTATACAACCAGTGTGGTAGGTCATGTGTAGCACATACACATGGGGAAACTGACTGGGGCGGTCAATCCGGAGCCGTGGGGGGAGGTCATAGAACCACGATCGGAGCTGCAGGAGACATTTGTTGAAGAACTCGCTGCGCTGTGCTTCATCCAAGAGGGGTTGCGGGGCCCAGCTAGATTTGATAACAAAATGGGTAGCTTCCATCAGATCTTCTAGAGCCATAAACCAGTGAGGGAAATTGACTTACAGTGACTGCAAAATCGTCTCCAGGATCTGGCAGAGCAAAGAAAAAGCGACCAAGTGAGCGGTGATCATGTCCCCTTCGGCCAGGATGGCGACCGTCGAGCGCTTGTGGCCTACATCCCGGCTTCCGGGGAACTGCAGTCGCATTTGACAAGCCAGCTGGATGTCAGCGTAACCGAGAACTCCAGGAAAAGGAGTGACTCTACCATCAATGTGCACACACGGCCGGTATAACTGGCGGCCAGCTTGTCATCGCAATACAGGGCCCAGTAGACTCGTCTGCGGAGGTCGACATCCTCCATGGAGAGGTTCGCCGAGCTTCGAAGAAGCACCGAGTCTAAATTCAGACCCATATCCTGCGCCAAGCGGCTCGCCATCCCTTGATGAAGCCATCCGGCGGCTTCTGCACCCATTGCCTAGTCAAGCACATCTTAGCGTTAGATAACCTCGCCTCCCCTCCGTCCACCCTAAAAAGGCGCCAGTGACCCTTGACCAAACTCACAATGTAAGTGGTTGCCATAATGACGAGACTCTGCAAGGTGGCAATATTGGGGCATTTGAGATCATAGTAGAGGAGCACCTCGGCCTTTTCCAAGAAAAGGCGGCCGGCCGTATTCGGATCGTCCGCATCGGAGCGGACCTCCACTCGATCACTATGGCGCGACCCACAGGCGAGGATGGCGTTGAAGAGTGACGGGCTAAAATAGCGATCATCGTCTTTCGCCTGCCAGCTTCGGCGGAAGAGCGCCTCATCCACCACCGGCGCCCATGGACACTCCCAAGTGAAGTAAAGGCTGACAAGCTCGTTCACCAGTGTCGGGTCGATTTGATCGTCCTCGGTCATCGACTGGTAGAGTCGATTAACCCCTCGACGCGACCGAAATCGGCCGCTCCCGTCGGACTGCCCGCTGGGCTCGGACGAAGAGAGATCGCCACCCCCCGCATACTGTTGGATCGGCTGCCGGCCGCTGGAAGGCCCAAAGTACCGGAGCTCCCCGTCCTGGTCGAAGTTCATGGTTTGATCGAGCGTCAGCGTGCCCTGTAGGGCTTCACACAGCCCCTCCGCATCCGTTGAACCTCCGGTGCCAGTCGTCGGGGTGGGTGTGATGCCATGCATGCGCAGCACCGCTTCCAACATCTCGACGCGGTCTCGCAGGAGGACGACATAGGATTTGGGGGCCGGTTGACGGCCATCTTCCTTGGCCGAATACTGACAGGAAAGATGGCGCCCGAAGCAGCGGCCACAAACTGGTCGAGAACCATCGCACTACATCTTATGAAAAAATGATAGTTTGTAAGCAATCTACCGAGGGAGGGGGCCAAGCAATCATTTTTGGACTTGGAAGTAACACCTTCGCTCGACGACGACGACATTCTTCACATGCTTTGGAAGTATATCTTCTTCTTCCGGTCCCCGGGGTAGCCCACAGTGCCTGGAGTGGGTTGGACGATGCCGGAGGAATATTGTTCGCCATTGAATATAGTGTAGGCGTCTGCGAGAAATCCAAAGGATGAGAGGGAAATGGAGGGAGAATTGCGAAAGTATCCCAAGCGATAGCGAACGCAGATGCCGCAGGCCCATCAGTATGACCAGTCCAAGTTCATCACTGGGGTCGGCTAGCGATAGGTGATAATAAATATCGGGCGGAATATATCTTCCGCCCTCCCTCCACCGGGGCCCCCACCGCTCATCAACTCCACATGTGCCCCCCATGCCTTGAATTAACTGTCTTATCTTCACTTCACCGTGTGGTGTGGGACTCAAGATAGAGGCACATCATAGCTTCCCCTATTGCGTCCTTCCCCATACCCCATATAAATAACTCAATATACCTTGGTGGTCCTCTCCTCCTCGCCTACAATGACAATCATCAGACCCCGTCGCCTCATACTCCAATTCCCTACCCTGATACCATGAACATGAAGTCCGATCTGGTCCTTGACCGCAGCCGGTGGCAACCCCAATTCGTCACCAAAAGTACAGAGGGGCTGTGTGATTTAGTTCGCAAAGGCGATGAGAAGTCCGCTCCAATCTTTGTGAGTATTCACACCCCCACTTATCCCGTCTGCCTGCAGTTCGAGAGGTATGCTCATGGAGAAAACGCATCAAGGGGGATGTGTCCGCCATGCGATCGCTTTTCGCCGGCGGAGAAGGGCAGCTACCCGAAGGGGAAAGCATCCAGCTGCCATCTCGCGATCCCGGACGCATGATCAATTGCCGGGCGATTGACCCGAACAATGTACCCTCTCCTAAAGGGATCTTTCTCCACTTCCATGGCGGAGGTCTAGTGGCTGGCCGCCACGACTCGTCAGTTCTCCGGCCCTTTCCAGTGTTGAGGGCTCCCGCCTGATTAACTAGCGCAGCATCGACGCTTTACTACTCCGATACGCAAACTCCTCTGAGTGCAAGGTGGTGTCTGTGGGCTACCGCCTAGCACCCGAAAATCCCTACCCTAGCGGCGTACAAGACTGCTTCGATGTCGCCGACTACTTTGTCGAGAACGGCCCTCCACTGCGAGTCCTCGGCGGCGAGGTAAGTTAAGACTATATTGTCGTCTTCCGTTGTCTTGTTTTTTTTTCGTCTCTTGGGTTCTGTACTTTCGGTTCTCGTCCTACATTTCGACTGGTCTCTCTGTTATGGTTTAACTAGTTAGTTAACTAACCTAAGTTAACAATTACCCGCTTAGTCAGCTGGAGCCTTCCTGGCAATGCAAACGATCTTCCATCTCCTCGGCACAAAACCCCAGCTCAACACGGTGAAGGCACTCGTCCTCGCCTACGGCTGCTACTCCTGGTCTTTCTTACCGCTGGCTTATAATATAACCGACTCTGTATGCATGAATCCGAAGAAGTTGAACGTTTTCCGCAACCTCGCCCTAACGACACACCCGACACTGACCGCGTCCCTTCGCAACTTTGACGCTGAATTCGGCGCCCTCCAGACTGCGGAGCCGGAGATATACGATTCACCTTTGAAACACCCAGTGTTTTCACCTCTTTACCGTCGCTTCGAGTCGGTCGGCGCGCGGCTCCCCCCTGCACTGTTCGTGGTCGGCACGGCAGACCCGCTTGCCGACGACACCATCCTTATGTCAGCCCATTGGCAGCTGGCGCAGGGCTCGGCCGTCACGCGGTTTCTGGCAGGCGCGCCGCATGCATTTGCGGAGATGCCTATGGAGGCGGGAGATTGCTGCGTGACATACAATGATCTGGTGAAGGAATTCCTGTACGAGGTTATACGCCAGTAGGTCGGCGGGCCAACTTAGGGGCTGACCTTGAGAAAAAAGAATATACTTTATACTTAGTTAGGGCTCGAACTGGAGAACACGGACGGAAATGATCGAGGCCTAAGTTTCATAACCAATTGCGTCTATGTAAGCAAGCTTGTCAGGCGATTTGTATATATGGTGATGCCTAATCAATGCAATGAACCCAGGTGATGGTCTCCGGTACGTGAATGGTGCCTGCCTCCTGCGTGTGCGCAGCATCCGCGCCCACCAAGATGCGAAACTCCGCCCCCTTGTCGAGAACCCATTTCTGGCGCTCCGGGTCATAGACCCCCAGCTCATACGCGGTGATTGACAGGCTCACGGTGCACGTCTCACCGGGTGCGAGGAGTGGCGACTTTATAAATGCGCTGACCTGCTTCGGAGGGCGGGCCAAACGTCCGTTCCCGGAGTCGACAACCTCACACCACGCGATGACCGTCTCTCGACCTGGCAGACCCACCGCTCCATCTCCGCAGTGGGTCACCTCAACTATTACCTGCACCGGCTGCGGCCCAGTCACCATCGCCAGCTGTTCAGGATGAACAATCCGCAGGGCAAAGGTATTGTACGACAGCCCATACCCCAGCGGGTACATGGGCTGCGTCCCCAACAAATCCCACCAACGCCCCCCCACATATATCCCCTCGGCATACAGAATTTCATGCGCCTCAACCCGGAAGGACGAGAACGCTGGACACTCCTCCAGCCGTCTAGGCCATGTCATCGGTAAACGACCCGAGGGATTAAATTCGCCGCAGACGACGCTGGCCGTCGCGTTTCCCAGCTCCTGGCCCTGATACCAAGCACAGACCACTCCCTTGACGTTCTCGATCCACGGCTCAAGGTGCACGGGTGTGCCGCTCTGGATGACGACGATCGTGCGCGCGCACACTGCCGCCACCTCCTCGATTAGCCGGACCTGCTCGCCCGGCAGCGCGAACATCGGCACGTCCTGGCCCTCGGTCTCCCACTCGCGGTCGCGACCGACGACAACAACAGCTGCCTCGCAGTCCCTGGCTTGCTTTGCCGCCTCGCTAGGCAGGTCTCTTCGGTTGGCTTCCTCATAGCCGAGGCGGACGCCCTGAAATTTGTCTTCCATGGGGTCCATGCACGGAAGGAGCTGGGCTGAGAGCTGCCGGTCATGCGACCAATACTCTATCTCTACGTGATATTCCTGGCCGGCGACCATGTCAAGCGTGAAGATGGCTTCATGGGAGCCGTAGGTGAAGAATAGCGTGCCCCGCTTCTCGAAATTGCCGTCTTGATGGGCCATGAGCTGACCGGAGATGTAGAGCTTGGAGGGGCCGATGCTAGCGAGGGAGAGGCGGTGCGTACCAGTAGTAAGTGGCACGATGGTCGTGCGCAGTCGAAAGCTAAAGCCAGTTTCTGTGGCAATAGTCTGAGGCGTATTGCCGAAATTGATGTAATACAGATCGTCGCTATGGGCCATCGAACATCAAATCAGGGAGATGTTTCGGAATAGACTGGATGATAAAGGGAGGGGGTTTCACTCACGTGTGGATGGTCTCCGTGGGCTGCCCGGACAGATCATGGCCGCTAAACCAGTCGATCGCAGCGCCCTGGCCGCCCGTATCGGGGTTTCTGGTTGCCGCCAAACTTATCACGGGCAGGTACCGATTTACCTTCGCACCGACATTCCGCACAATCTCCGTGGTCGTGTCCTGAAAGCGGGCCGTAAGAGAGTCGTCCACGTTGGTCCAGTATGGCGCCTTGATGTAAGAGCTACCCCCACCACCGGCGACGACGCGCGCAGAGTTAGGGCCGAAAATGCCCACGCGCCCCAGTCCCTCCGATGGCCGCAGGGGCAGGCAGCCGGCCTCATTTTTCAGTAATACAATACCCGACTGCGCGGCGTGCAACAGTCTGGCCGTGTTGTTGGAGTTCCTGAGCGTGGTCTCTGGATGCTCGGAGTCGTTCTCGAACCGCTTGGTCCGTTTCAGGAGGCGCAAGATGCGATGCACGGAGCGGTCAACATCAGCCTCGGTGATCCTGCTGTCTGCGAGACACTGCTGGACTATCTCCCAGGTGCGCCGCACTGGCGGGCCGGGCATCTCCAGGTCCAGCCCGGCGACCAGGGACTGGGCAGCGTCGTGGGCGCCGCCCCAGTCACTCATAGCTACGCCTTCCCAGCCCCATTCCTTACGCAGGATGTCGGTCAGCAGCTCGACATTTTCGTCGCAGTGGGCGCCGTTGACGCGGTTGTACGCAGTCATCAAGCACCAGGGGTTGGCGTCCCGCACCACCATCTGGAACGGCCGCAAATAGACCTCGCGCAGCGCCCGTGTTGGGATTACCGCATTGTAGTGGAAGCGGTCGGTCTCCTGATCGTTGGCCACGTAGTGTTTGGCCGTAGCCCCGATCCCCCGGGATTGGATGCCCCGGATCGTGGCGGTCGCCAGTCGCCCCGTCAGGTATGGGTCTTCGCTGTAGGATTCGAAATTGCGGCCGCCCAGTGGGTGGCGATGAATGCACATGGTAGGCCCCAGGATTACTGAAGCTGACTTGGATTTACACTGTGGCTCGTGAGTTGTGAGTATAACAAGATAGAGAGTAGTCGTAACTGACCTCCTCGGCAAGAATCTGTCCCAACTCCCCCAGCAGGTCTTCATCCCAAGTGGCTCCCAAGCTGGTACCAGACGGGAAAAAGGCGGCAGGAACGCTATCCCCGAAAATCTCCCCCCGAGCACCAGAAGGACCGTCGGATAACTACAAACGATGTACTTCGATTAGCGGGCAACCAGCTAACCTCCGAAAGAAAGAAGAAGAAAAGAACAAGGGGGGGGGGGAGGGAGGAAGGAGAACACAACACGTATAAAGGCACAAAATGATCAGCAACAACGGTCACCCAGCTTACCTTGAGATGAGGGATGTTGACTCGCGGAACCGGCGCAGTTCGCCAGGTTGACGCCCCAGCAAGCAGTGTGACTTTTTCTGGCAGCGTCAAGCTGCGGAGAATAACCTCCAGGTCCATGTTGCTCGTGCAGAAGTGATCGAGGTCAGGGGGTATACTGGCCATTTTGGAACGGACAGGCGATGAGACAGCCTATAAATAGCTCAAGCATAACAGCCGACCTCAGTCGGGCGGGGGAAGATGTTTTCCATCCTGCCGCGTGGCTCCTAAATTTTGACCGATGCGAATATTCCGCGTCGCTGTGGAGAGGGCGATTGGAAGAGTCGGCAAAACTGGAATATATTTTCCATAGGTACCCTGTGACTAATAATACTTGGTATACAGGGGTCATGTGAACCCTGCCCCTTCCACTCCTATCTACTGGTTGTTCTTCCAAGCATGATAGTCTCAATAAATCCAACTCGATGCTACCCTCTCTTGAATATATCGCTAGTATGCACGGCATTCTTAAGGGCCGATGATAGCAAATTATATACGTTTCGACATAATGTAATATGCATGAAATTCACTTAATTTTGTCTCGAGAGCAGCCACTTAGGGTAGCCAGGGATCCCTGCCTGGCTTGCCTGTTCAACCCTTCTGAGCTACTCGTTTTCTTTTTTCTTTCTTTTTTCTCTTTCTTTCCTTCCTTCGTCTCTTGTCTTCATTTTCTCTGCTTTACGAATGTCCAAGGCGATGTGCCCCAGGGTATCCTAGGTTGAGAAAGGTAATTCAATATTCCTATGCAGTCATAAGATTATCTGGGTGGAGGCAGGCCACAGTCACAATATTCAGAAAACCGCAAGATTGACAGTTCACATTATCCTCCCTCCACTCCTTGTCTCAGGCAGGGTTTTGTTCTTCACAACCTCCTTCCCGCCCGCTCCTTCTTTCCTCCATTATCAGAGGGATAACTAGAGACAGGGAAACTAGATCAAAACCAAATGAGCGTACTGAGTAAACTAATGATTCAATAAAAAGGGAGAATTAAAGGGAATGTTTAGTGTGGAATGGGTGAAAGGTCATCATGGTTTGGACTCTTCGCCCCGAAAAGCCATCAAGCACTGGCACCTATTCGCCCTTGTCAACTACCGTATCTAACCCATGCAAGCTTCCAGTCTGGTCAATGGCTTCCACTGCCATCTTCTGCTCCCGCTTCCAGGCCTTGGATTTCCACGCCGCGATCCGTTCATCAAACATGCGGTCCATCTAACTCTGTTTAGCATCGCGTCCGCATGGAGAAAAGGAAACCATTTACCTCAGCTTGTGTAAGGCCGCTCAACTCGGGCAGGTAGAAATAGGCCCAAGCGAGCGATAGGACGGTGAACCCCGCTAAGACATACATCATATTCACGCCAAGATTGCCAGCGGATTCGTCCACCATATACGGCGTGATAAAGCCGAAGATCCACTGCGAGATCCAGTAGAAACACATAGAAATCGTGCTTTGGTAGGTGCGCAGGCGCGATGAGTATGCCTCGGTAATGACTAGCCATGCTTGGAAGGAATTCTGTTTAGAAGCTCACTTGGATAACGCATTACAACATCGAGTACTTACCGAGCGATCCCCAACTTGACGCATATGCGAAGATAAAGAGTAACGATCCCGCAATGAGCGCATGCTGACTTGCAGCCGACAGCGGCGCGGCCGAGTGGATTGCCCCTGTGACGATACAGACGATGAGCATCATTGTTCCTCCGATAAAGGCGCATGAGCGGCGACCCAAATGGTCAAGGCAATATATGGATGGCAGGGTAGAAGCCGACATGACGAGGCCGATGATAAAGGTAATAAGGTAGGCATTCGTGATTCCTGCCCCAGCGAGAAATGTGGTTGAGTACGACAAGAAGAATACGATGCCAGTCGATTCAGCATGGAAGCCCATAGAGCAGCCTAGTACGAGGCGACGCAGGTTGGGCCCCTCAAAGCACTCCCGGAGCCGAGCTTTTTGCTGCTGCTCCGCGTCTTCAAGTAGCCAGATTTGTAGTTCGGCTATCGCCTCGTCGAGTTCTGGGGAGTCAGCCGCAAGCCCCCGAAGCCGGCCGAGACTGGTGCGTGCCGCAGCGTGGTTGCCGAGCTTGGCGAGATGGCGTGGGGATTCGGGGTTGCTGATGCCCGCGATCATAAGAAGCATGGCATGGGCGAATTGGATGGCGATCTCAATTCCTGTGTTTGAATAACAGGGCTGAGCCTGAGCACGGAATATGGGAAGTGATAGAGCACTCACGCCATTGCTTCGATCCGCTCAGGTAAGAAAGGCCGTAGTTCCCTCCTGATGCGGTGACTAGGCCCATGGTGACAACTTGCTCATACAACCCAATTACCAAGCCACGACTGGTGCTAGGGACAGTCTCGATTAGATATGAAGGGACCTATCTCATAATTAGCATCGAACGTTCTAAAGAGATTACAGACAGCCAGGGTACACCCCACCGTGGTAGAGATAATGCCAAGAGTATAGCCCTCTAGCACTCGGCCGAGGATGAAAACAACCTCGAATTTACCAATCAGTTGCAAGGCAATTCCTATTGCCAAGGATATTGAGCCCAGGAGAAACCGGCCCCGAAAGCCGTCTATGTATGAGTCAGATAATCACCGTCTATGAAGGTGTCCACACCACCAGAAAGGGAAAGGCTGACATGACTTTTGAAGTAAGGGTGCTGAGCAACACCCAATTAAGGCTCCCACAATTAGCATCGAAGTGAATAATGAGCGAGTTGTTGGGCTCAACGAATAGTTTCCTTCGGCATCACAACTGCCATATCGGTGAATAAAATCGTCACTTGCCAGAACGCCGTTCAAATACCCAGATTCGAATCCGATTAGCGATCCTAGAATTGTCTGGTCAGAGGAGGATTGCAGGATAGCTTGCGGGGAGAGGTAGTGTACCTGAACCTAGGGTCACTGCAAACATGAGGTATCGACCGGGGGAATGCATGATTGCCACAGCTGAGAATAAGTCTGGATGGAAAGGAGTTGCAAAGAAGAAAGGGTCAAGACCTATTTTATCAAGTCTATTCTCCTTTCGATATCTCGGTCCTGAGCTTGAGGCATAGATCTAGCACTGTTATCTCGCGGTCATCCTCACTTATCAATCACCCCGATAAGAAGGCGTTATGTCGCTCAATTTGCAGCGGAATTTGTCTTCCGCAATTGGAAGGCGATTTACTTCCCCAAGATAAGGGTCGCATTGTAATGCAGTAATGTTTCTGTTCGTAGTTCTAGATATTCTGGAAAGCCTATGTGGACGAAGAGGTTAACTTTCCCCAATCTTCACGTATATAATTCATATAATATCTCCTCGCAGTAACAATACCTCTAACTACTTTTCAACTGTCAGACTTGCGTACCTGTAATGCTATTCTTGGCTTGCTCGGATTAAATAATATACCGTCTATGTTTCCATTAGTCAGGGTGGGAAAATGATAGCAATCGTAACCACAACAATAGACTCCAATATATTGATTCGAAGACATACAAAATAGATTTATTCCTAGAATCTGAACCTCTTATCTAGAGTGGTTATACCTGGCTATTATTCCCTGACTGTAGTTTGACGGTAGTTGAACCTGACACTAGTGTTGGATTGTATTTGGACCCCAAGCGCAGTAGAGCACACTGAAAGACAGTGGAAATGTTTGCAGTAATGGAATATATATACCGCATGTGATACATTTATCTATATACAGTCCCCTCCTACAACCTGTGACATCAGAAGATAAATAGTAAGATACAATGTGATATATCTGACTAAATTAATCAACTTATCTAGTATCATAATAATTCTATATATATCAGTGATGGTGAACGCCCCCGGTTAACAACTCTGGTTTGGGTTCAGGCTAACCCACTAGCAGTGACTATTAAAACCAATGCCCACCAATAAAAGCTGACCAACAATCACACCGATGAAAGGCAGCTCTATCCGACACTATGCGTCATAACCATAATCTTACCTCGGTGTAAGTTCGCCCGAAACGTTAAATCGCATTGGCGAAGCCATTGAGTAGGTAATCATGGGTTGTTTTAAAGCGATGGAAAGCTGGGGAAATTTAGTGGATCATGAAGAAGCGGGGGTTGAAACGGGGAAACATAATTCCACAAGTAGCAGGAAATAATCTACTGAACAGAAGACCAATAAATTTGGAAATGATGGCATGTAAGAGTCTATAATCGTCATTATCTGTCCCGACACGATGCACTTAGCAAAGAGCCTGCTTCACACATCTCTTTTCGCCGCTGAGGTTGTGGCCGGAGTCAGCTCGGCTAGAAGGCGCAGTATTGTACAGTCATTTAATCCCCATCGGAGTGCCAGCTCATCAACCACGCCTCTGCAAGTCGGCAATGGTAATTTTGCCTTTGGCGCTGATATCACTGGGTTACAGACATTTGCTCCTTTTGCTATTCAAAGCACTTGGGGTTGGCACAATTTCAGCTTGCCAACAACTGCCAACCAGACCTCCCCTGCCGGTAAGACTACAGTTTTGCATGGACTACTAGATACAATGCTGACTTTCCATATGACTTTAGACTTCACTGGCCTGTATACTGGACACACGGGCGACTTGTGGAATATGATATACAAAACCCAGCAGAAGAAGAGATTTCCAATTGGTTGGTCATGAACCCGCAAAGACTCAATCTCGCCAACATCGGTCTTTATTTTGGCGAAGACAAAGTTATTGAAGACGATCTTCTCAATAAGTCCCAAGATCTGGATCTCTGGACCGGACAAATCTTATCAGAATTCACGTACAATGGATTTCCAATATCTGTACAGGTTACCTCTCATCCTGAAAACCCTGTTGTCGGAATTCAAATCAACTCGACTCTATTAAAATCAGGCAAATCGGGGATCTTTTTTGACTTTCCTTACGCTGATCTCAATAAATTTGACGCACCATATGTGGGGGTGTGGAATGCGACAACCAACAACACTGTCAAGAGTCACTCATCCCATGATACCGTCATTTTCAACCATACCATTGATAGTAACGTCAATCAAATTGCAGCTAGGTGGAGCACAAACGCCTCTATCTCCGGTCCCTTGGCTTGTTCGAATGAATTCGTTCTCAACCACTCCGGCTCTGATACTCTACAGCTAGTGGTGGCTTTCCCCGACACATATTCCCCCTCGGCCAAAAAGGTATCCGATGGATTTCCATCATACACCGAGCTTTCTACTAAATCTAAAGAGTGCTGGTCAAATTACTGGACAGCGGGTGCTTTTATTGATCTATCCGCAACCAAAAATGCAAGTGCACAGGAACTCCAGCGCCGCATCATTCTTTCCCAATATCTAGTTGCTGTGAATGAAGCATCAAGCAATCCTCCACAAGGTATTGTTCGTACCCTTGGATATCGCACTCCCGCAGGCTGACGTTTGTCATTATGATATGCTGTCACAGAATCTGGTACGCAATGATAATTTTACAGTGTTTCTGAATCAAACCACTGATGGCATCGTTACTAGGACTCGTGAATAACGGGTGGTATGGCAAATTCCATGTGAGTCTTATTCATACCGGTCACATATTATTTACTTTGCTTTCTCCTCATCCTTGATACAATGCGAACCTAACTTATGGCTCCACCAGCTCGAAATGACTTTGTGGCATTGCCTGCACTTTGCTCGCTGGGGCCACTACGATCTTCTTTCTCGAACCGTCCCTAACACATATCATCGCTTCCTTCAGTCTAGCGTTGATCGGGCTGCTCAACAAGGATATAAAGGGGCACGCTGGGGAAAAATGACAGATCCGAGCGGGCGAGATGCTCCAGGTGATATTAACGCTCTTCTGATCTGGCAGCAACCTCATATTATGCATTTCGCCGAATACTTTTACCGTGCTTTTCCGGAAGAAAGTACCTTGAAAGAGTGGGATGAGGTCATAACTGCTACCGCTGACTTTATGGTATCATACGCCTGGTGGAACGCTTCAATAGAAGTCTACGATTTAGGTCCCCCTTTATACCCTGTCAGCGAGAACACGAACCCTAATGTCACGATCAATTCGACGTTCGAATTAGCATACTGGCGCTTTGCATTAGATATCGCCATTCGGTGGAAAGAGCGACAGTCACTCTCTGTTCCCAAAAATGGGACGACTGTTCGAGACAACCTTGCACCGCTCCCGGTCGTAGATGATGCGTACGCAGTTTATGAAGGAATCCCCGACATGTGGAAAAACGAGACTACTACCGTGGAAGATCATCTTGCTATGGCCGGTATTTATGGACTCCTGCCACCCCCCTCTACCGGCAGTCCTCTCTCTGTGAACACGACGGTGGTTAGACATACAGCGAAGCTTATTAGAGAGCTATGGGATTTAAGGAGTCGTACGGATGGGACCTTTCCATGTTGGCAATGAATAGCCTGCGCTTGGGCGACGTGGACCAGGCTGTTGCATATCTGCTGGATTCATACTACCAATTTGACGATGCAGGGTACCCGGAAGGTGGCAGCCGTGTGTCTACGCCATATATGCCCGACGCAGGTGGCCTGTTACTTACAACTGCAATGATGGCAGGAGGGTGGGATGGAGAGGAGGGGCCCCATTTTCCGAAAGACAGGAATGTGGAAGTCGAAGGTTTTTCACCGAGCTTATAGATCGAAAGAGTCAACAATTGAAGCTTCGTTCGCCAAAGGGCAACTTTGCCATATGATTAACGGCTTTATAGTAGGAAGGCATCACTACTGCATGTCCCTCAAATTCAAAGTATCTGGACTTTGTTGCCGCGACACCAAAGGTATAGCTTTACCTTGAAATGTGCCGCTGGGTATAGAGTATGATGATTTGTAGATATCCAGTGATTGATCGAATGGATTGGTTCAATTTTCTACAGCAAGGAGACTGATCCTGGGAAGGCAACATCCAGCCTACAATGACAACAAAGCTACATATATAGTGTTCATCTTCATTTTTGTCTCCAAATTTATCGTATTAAGTTATAACATTCTGCAGACCTTGGGGTCGGGCTCGGGCCAGCCCAGCCCAGCCCCGATAGGGGTTGGAATTGGTTCTTTTCTTTTCCTTTTTTGGTTCTTCGTTGTCTTTTCCTTTGTATTGTTCCTGTACGTCTCGTATATACTCTTATTTTTTTTAATCCGAGACAAGCATTTGAGGACACAGTATAACTTGAATTTGTGTCAAGTCTAATGTACCATGGCTTATTTCATGGCGGTAGTGTTCGAGAATGTGATTATGCTTCTCAAAGTGCAAGGAGAAATTACTTCGGATGAAAATCTTTCGCAAGCAATTCATTGAACTAGATCCTGACTTAGTCCAGGAACAAGGACTCTGCGAAGGAATTAAATGTAGGATTCTATCACCCCGACAATGACGCGCTATATATCACAAAACGTACTGGTAGTCTTATTTAATATAGCTGTATTTAGTATAACTGGAAAAATTAAGTGATTATAATATTTGATATTACATAACAGCTAATTAAATAGATTTCTTTTGGTATGTTTAAACCAGAATATTGACTATGTAAAAATCAGCGTGGGAAGATATATGAACAATGAAGAACAATAAATAAGTAGGCAAGATACCTAAAACTACATAATATATATCAAACAAAGCAAAATGAAACATGTACCCCAATCACTTCGCTTCAATGCCATCACAATAGCCTTCTTGTACATAGAGCCGGTGATCCAATACTAGGTATGGCTCGCCTCTAATACTTCATTACAAATATAGACCAGCTACCTTATTGTGACAATAATGAGTCGGAAGCAATAATCCTGTTCATTGACATTCTGCCTGAGGACGTAAGTAAATTGTAACTCTTTTTAGCCAGTAAGGGTGTTGAACCCTGTGAGACTTTTTGGAAGAAATAAACATGTTCGGTTTAGGGTGTTGTACCCAATACCACATAGACGCTTAGGTTATGAAGTCATAGACTCAAGTTGCTGCCTTTTTCGACCCCGTGGAAATGACATCAATACAAACAACCCCTTTCCGTCAATAAGTAGCCAAGAAACTTCCTTCGAACCCCTATATTGTTAGTAATCTTTTTTAGCAAGCTGTAACGACAGATCACCAGAATATTAGATGTATGTCTTACCTTATATATCCGTTATCTGCATGAACAACTGTCCCAGTCCCAGTTACGGCAGTTAGTGTCGAAGTTGATACAGAAGCGGCCTCCACACCTGCAGTGATCCCAGTCCCAGGTCTCACAACCTGGAAAGTAGTTAGGACACCACTGTCCGTGGCACCTATAATCGGAGGGATTGCCACTGCCTCCGCCAACCCCTCCTTCAGTAGATCCGCCACCTGTAGCGGGTGCAGCATTGTTAATATTGTTGATATTGGTATTGACGTTGTTATTGGTGTTGACATTGACATTGGTGTTAGTGTTGGTATTGGTATTGGTGTTGCTGTTCGTGCTGGTACTAGTCGCCTGGCTTGATGCTGAAGTCGAGGTAGAAGTCGAGGTAGTTGTAGGAACCGTTGTAGTCGAAGTAGGTGGAGTGGTTGCCTGGTTGGTATTGGCATTAGTATTAGCATTGGTATTTTGGTTCACATTGGTATTAGCATTCGTGTTGGTATCTGTCGCTGCTGGCGGTGTGGTGATGCTTGCAGTTTGCCGGCGGTAATTGTGTCCATCTTTATCAAGACACTTGCATTCCCTTGAGTCCCACTTCTTGCATTCGCGGTCTACCCTGGTGCATTGATGATCATCATAATCATGATAATGACCTGGTGAAATGTTAGCGGAACAGAGAGATGTTGAATAAGGTGTCTTTGTATACCTTGAACATCTTTGTACGATCCACCGTTTGCTACAGGTGAAGCAGTCACGGAGCCAGCAAGGGCTGCAAGCAAGAGGGTGTAGAAGACCTTCATCGTAATGTTCGGTAGCAGATATCTTTGAAGCTGGTGAACGAGATATTTGTTGTGAGTGGATTGTGTAGTGTGCAGAAGAATTTCAGCTGGGCCAGGATGTTCCTTGGTATTTATAGTATGAGACTAGCTAGTCATTCGAGACGAGCAATAAACACCGAAGGCTAGAGGATCTAGAACAAACACATGTAAATTTAGGGTTATGAAAACGGAATCCTAAATTAAAGTTCCGAAGTCAGAAGCTTCAATGAATAAGGTGAGGTGCGGCGTACGAACCATGGGTTGTCAAAATTATATCTTCGAGATCAAAGATACCACCATGGATATTCAAAACCTGATCATGGACGACACTATTGATCCTTTCCCGAACTCCACCAACTGCATTCTTTGTTCCATATGATGCTTAGATACGAGATATACATATAATTCGGAATTGTACTCTCACTCGTATTAGTGGAATGATGCTCAACAGGCGAGCAGCTGTTGTTTACCAGTAATGTTCTAGACAGAGCACTTGCAGCCTTATTGCGTTGAATTATTATGATTCAGAGCGGCTTCGTATTTCCGGTCTGGAATCTTCTGGCGGCAAAACTTTAAACCTTATATTACAACTTCGTGTACGGGTACCCCGCCCAACCCGCCTTTGTTGGAATCCTTCCCGAGAACAATGCGATTCATAAGTCTGGGGTCTGTTGGTGGGAACCCAGCAACGGCCTCATATCCATTCCAATGGGACTTTGCGTGAAGTGTGATATTGGAAGCTTCTAGACCATGGGCAGTCAGCTCTGTAGAGCCTAGAGGATGACCACAACTTAGGAGGAAACTTTGAATGGCGGGGTGCCGGCTATACTGGAAAGGAATGACTATGTCGCTCTAGGCCATTCTGCAAACACATCACTCGCAATGGTAGGCTCAGTATGCTCTAAGTATGAAATCAGACAGGTCTAATTAGACGTTCAAGGAGCAAGAACCAATTGTACGCTAAATGAAACTCAGAATGTTGTCAAGATATTATCACAGATACCTATGGATGGCTAGACTTTGGAGTAGTAAGGGTGGTATCATTAAGGGTATCACTCAGTGGTACCCGCTTTGCCAAGCGGGATCTCCGCACCGGGCCCTGGGTCTTCTTTTCCTTGCGCAGATATTGCTGGCCGGTTGAATTACCCGCTCAGGCTCGGGATATACGCAAGATTCTGAGCCAGTCCAACTTCTGCCATAACAGCAAGGGTGGCGTCTTCATGCCATGCTGATGCGAGGACAAGTAGGTTTCAGCCAAGCATTGGATCCAGCACATACCGAATGGTATGTTTCGGCCCATATGTTTCTCTCGGATGCTGGTTCTGCATTACAATGGTGTATGAGAAGGGATGTCAGTCCAAGTATTACATCACAGGCTCGCCGGCATTGTCTGCATTGTTAATCCAAGAGCGCCAATTCATCTTGCTTGATAGAGTTACTCATCTACCATATCAATTACCATTATTGACCGCATCTACGAGCGATATGAGCATGACTGTGGTGGGGACTCAAACAAACTCGTTTCATTGGCAGGGCAAAAGAGTTGTCAGAAATGTTATGTCTTTTATGTGCATGGCCACAGCCAGTACCCTGAATACTCTGGCACAGGAATTGATACGAGGCCTGGGCCCCTCTAAGACGGACTTATTGTGAGATACATTTCCCAGTTCATGGTAGACCCAATCCTAAGGCGGGTCTACGTTTGGGAGGACGTATGGTGCCTTTCCTTCTACGAGCCTGTCGGCCTCCCCGCCCTCAATTCCTTGCGTTCCTTGGAACTCTACACTTATTGCGGGGCGCATATTGGGTGTAACCACCTGACACACAATAAACTAATATGATGTCGTTCACGTGCCTTTCCTCATAGCTTAGACTGACCAGTTCCGGAGAACGCCCTTGTCCGCGGGGGACCAGAACAAAACTCAATTATGGATTAACCAATCTAACAAGATTCAGGCCTCCTGCATCGTGTTCAACAGAGACGTGGATAGTAGTGGTCCAGTATTCAAGTTCGAAGTCTGTTTTAAAGTAACAACAGCTCATTCCCCTCACCTGAGGCATTCCTCCCCACACTAAACCAAACAAACATTGAGTAATATCGTCAACGCCTACCAGATTTGAAAGAATACCGGTTAATATTTCTCTCATACTTGGTGAAATCATTGTACTGCTACATACACTGACCATAATATCCCGCCACCTCTACCTCACCCACCCTCTTCAACATTCCCAGAACTGTTATTTCCCACGCCGCTTTACATTCGTATCAGTTGACTAACGGGAACATTTTGACTGCAGAATTAAGTGCGTCGAGGCGAGATTGCTGGCCTGCGCGCCTGTCCCAGCCACCACCTCCTAAACATAGAGGTATAATACGGCTGTGCGCAAGAGCATTGAGTACTTAAGATGTATCGATCTTACTTAACAAACGAATACATTCCCATCCAGATGTCTCCATCACGAAGGATTTGAACAACATCTGTTTTTCCAGGCATAATTCTTTTCTGTGTGTCAGATATAACAGAGATAGCAGCAGCGGCAGGGGGTGCTGGGACGGGTAACAGGTACCTTAGTCCGGCATCGATTCAAGCAAGGCAATCCTTCTCATCCTTCTGCTTTTATTTGAAAAAGAAGAATGTCAATTCAATGAGTCGGATCATCAAGGCATAAGTGGAAAATATGTGAATGGGGCAAGCTTGACTCGGTATCAGATCACAACATGCACAGATAAGTCAATTCCATTAGTGTTGGCAGATACAGGGACTTTTCAATAAATCCTCCTAGAAATGCCCTCGGGTCAATAAAGCCAACATGGGTTTTCCACACCTGGTGAGTTTTATTGGAGTTTATTCGTATCGTCTTGCCAGCATGGCAAAGGCATTGAAAAGAAAATAGAGCCCGTGTATTTTGGAATCCAATAATCCGAGGAGGTAGCAGCAATGCTTCTAGCTGATCCTCGACATAGCGCGCGAAGACTAAAGGGGAAATAAGACTGCGCTGTAAACGTCAAATAGGGTTTTATTATTAGACACCGGGGATAAACCGGGCAGCGATGCATGGTGTGTGCTACGCTTCTTAGCTTGTGATAAACATTGCGCAGCTCGCCCAATTGCAGTCCTAAGACCAACTTGGGTACATAATATGACTCTGCAGCCTATCTTAGTTCATCTAAATGTTGAAACACAGATTATCGCGAAGGCACGGTGCTCCATATGGTTTTCGTTATTCAGCCCTTCCAGCCCACATGTCCCAGTTCCCATTGTTGGAATGCTGCGATAATACTTCAGAACTTGATTCCAAAGGGCAAGCGGATCCTGGCTAAGATAAATCATTTGATTTGGATACATCAGATGTGTCTCCGCCCGTGGCCACGGAGGTGCATATGGCCGCCAGAAGCCGTGGTCTTTCTACCTGGCACATTCGCTCTTCTGCTTATGGCTTTGCCAGTCTAACTTGACCCAACAACTACGGCGGTTGTTATCCATGTAGGATGACTACTGTTATATATTCTTCAACGGTCATGGGACATTATTTCACGTTGTGTTCTCAGAAGCCATGACCAGTGAACTTGCCGGCAAAAACCCTAACCGCATTCTGGGCCAGCATTCCATTCACCCTCGCTGTTATCATTGTTCAGTCAATACACACCAGTGTGTCCGACATTATCAGGCGAAAGGCTGCACTTTATGCAGTTCTCTTTATTTTTGTTGTTGGGACTGTCGTTTTTGGCGTGACCCGTAGCATGTTTCTGTTGAATCTAGTCCGGGGTCCTTCAGGGAATCGGCGGTGGAGGCCTAGACGTGGTAAGTGAGGTCATTGCGGCGGGCATAATCACGCTGCAGGAGCGTGCTACCTATATTGGTCTTATTTCTCTACCCGTGGCTCCTGGGATCATTCTGGGGCCCACCCTTGGGGCACTGTCCAGCGAGTAGGATGGACGGCGGTAGATTGGATGGATCAATTTGCCAGTGATAGCAATTGTAGTGGTGTTGGACTATTTCTTCGTGCGTCTCAAGTCTATTCGTTAGGGAATCCTTCCGCACGCAATTGGCATTACTTGATTGGGTAGGGATCATTGTCTTTGCGGTTAGCTGCACTGTTTTCGCTTTGCCCCTGAGCTGGGCCGAGAATATGTACCCGTGGTCCTCGTTGCCTTCGCTATCTATGAGTCCAGGCCACAATCTTCTGTGTTCCCATACCATATCTTCCGCTAGCGTACTGCCCAGATGGCACTCATTGGAAGCTTCATTCACGGTGTCACACTGTACATTCTTCTGATGTACGGGCCCTTTTCTTCCAGTCTGTCTATCTAGAGACCCCACTACGGTCGGCGATCTCAATGCTCCACTTCTGCTGCGTGCTCCTGGCTTTCACGGGTATTTCTGCCTGAGCGCTGGACTAAATCCGCACTTACCGGTGGGAGATCCGGGGTGGCTGGGTCTTTCTGAGGGTTGGTGTGGGACTCTTCGCAATGTGGCACCGCTGCACCGCTGCACCGAGCAATCGGTATCGGGACGTTGCTCACTGTGCCGCGCATCCCCATGCATGCCAGCGCCCCGACCGCCGAGGATCAAGCGCTCGCAATCGGCATCCTCGTTTCCTTCAGTCTATTTTGTGCTGTGATCGGCCTTTGGCGGTGTCTGACTCTTTAACATCTCTGTTGATTGGGGAGCTAAACACTTGAGACCCAGGAGCGGGGTAGGCAGTCCTTCGAGCATGGGTCAGTGTAGTTGACTATACCAGACTATAATATGGACCAACCAGTAGTTGTTTGCTGTCAAACAGTAGGCTTGGCCGACGAGAAAGTGGAACACATGGTCTAACACAGGTTCTGGGTTTTGCGCTTGCTCTTCGTTACGTGTTTACTGCATGGTTCAACTCAGTAATTTTAATACCCTGATAGATGCTGGTCAGGGGACTGTCTTACTTTGGTTCACAAGATATCGGGCGGTACTAGTAAGCCAGCAAATTACAACTGTGTCATCTTGCACTTAATTCTATAAGTGGCTGTGGAAATTGTTAGCTCTGCAGAACCATGAACTCTACTACTCATATGTTTTGGTATGGTCGTCCACTACCGACAGCGACACAATTAAATGGACGATCCTCTTGTTGACCGTGCCGATAGCACACTTAAAGCTATTATCGCATGATATCACGCCTTCCCATATTACAGTAACTATAGAGCTGGAATTGTCTGTCGTCAAGCTAGTATGAATTCTGTTGTTGTGTTGATGTTGCTCTGGTGTATATAAACTTCTTACCCCGCTGCGTGTCAGACCCAAGGTTAATATTATCGGCATAAAGGGAGACATTATTATGTAATTCCATATCAAATCACGTATGAAGGCATGACTTCGCCTGGCCACCCTTTTTATAACCGAAGTCATACATCGACCACTAATCCCCAACGGTGCATCATCACACATATCTGTACGTGATTGAGCTGTCAGTTAATCTATCAGAAGCCAGGAAAAAGCAATAGAGGAGATCTTGACAACTATTTCCTCCGCTAATAGGCCTCCGACATTAATAAAGAAGGCGTCCAGGCGGAGTAGATACTAGATAGAGGCCAATATTGGCTAACGGGGGCGCAGTCAAGAAACTCAGCTCTGATGATCACAGCGGGAAAAAGGCAATGATCATCTCCATCTCTCTGCAGGCACCTCTTGGTATTGGACGATCAAAACCTTATTTGACAGAGCGCAATTAAGGGGTTTGTTCATCCATTACCTCAATCGGTAGTAGCACATCTTGGTAGGCCATTTATTTTCGCCATATGCCTGTTCTATACTCAACATTCCACTACTTCAGGGTTCTTATTCCCAGATTTGCTCCGAAAAATAACTCCGAGCACTCGCGAGGGCCTCGATCCAGAGCTTCCGTTATTTATCAGCAGAGTGTACTATAGACCTGACAGCTACATGCTCTATAAATTCACGATGAAGCTATCCAGAGGCAAATCAGTTTTTTCATTCAATCATTCAGCAGTCCAAATACCACTCAGACCGACAATATGACAACCGTCGACCCCATCACCAAAACCACCTTTGCTACCATGGATTGGGAGGACTATCATCAAGGTCGTCCCCAGTACCCACAATCTCTAACTTCACTTATCTATGACTATCGACGCCTTCATCCCGGCGGCTGGGAGCGCCTGGTTGACATCGGTGCCGGCTCGGGCATAGCCACCACGAACTTCATGACCGACTTCCAAATCATCCATGTCTCCGATCCCAGTCCAGGCAACCAGTCCCAGGCGAAAATATTTCTCCCTAATTGGGCGGAGCAACATGGCCTGCATCCTACTTTCGAGTACAGCCAGGCTGTGGGTGAAGAAGCGTACCATCAGGTCGGTGAACGCCAGGCTGACATGGCGATCTGTGCGACTGCAGCACATTTTATGGACCCATATAAACTGGTCATCTCTATTGGAAAGATGCTTCGACCGGGCGGAACAATGGCAATCTTTAGCTATTGGCTTCCTACGTTCCCCAAACAGTCTTCACACTTTCATGATGTGTTTGCGTCGATCTTTGCAAAGGTGCTCCTGCAGCCGCTACAGCAGGATGCTGAATCAAACCAGGCAGCAATGTTGTACGGTCTGATGCAGCGTCTGGGATCTGGTGAAGGGCAGGTAGACTCAGTTCCAGCGCCAGAGGAATTGTTCGAGGATCCTGTCCGGGTGTACATCAACCCCACCGATGATGGCAAGATGCCCTACTACGCGCAGTTTGTGAAGTACTTTCCCGCTGGTCTGCAGCCCGAGAAGTACAGTGCGGTCGCAGGCAGGGACAAGCAAGTCAGATATTATACCGGCAGCGATGATGAGGCAGAAGGGTGGGAGTTCGACGCCGACAAGCAGTGGCTTCTTAAGTTCTTGAACACATGCTTGCCACCACAACACACGCTCGCTCCCGACACTGCGCATGTCTTGCTGGCTGACTGGGACCGTGTGTTTGAGAAGGAATGTCCGAGTGGGCAACTACGGGTCCGGTGGGCGGCAAATCTGCTGCTGGGAACGCGGAAAGGAGGAGAAGACTCCAACTGAGGAATATGTTTAATGGTCTGGACAGTGGAGGATATTTTGGTTTTCCTCGGGCTATTGATGTCACTATAAGCATGAGCCTTCAGCGACCATGCCTTAGTAAACCCTCTATTCCATATTGTTGAGATAGTGGTATACTTCCACAAGACTTACTCTGGCTAGCCTTTCCCCAAATCTATTCATCCTTCAACTTGTCATGCGTCAGCGACTGAAGAGCCTCAGTTTCAGAATATAGATTGTAATTAAATGTGATATTGCTCCCCGGCAACACTAAATAGTCTCTGAAATGGCTTGTTTAAGTATGACTATGAGGTTCTAAAGTGTAATGTTAAGTTGATTGCTGAATATTAGCTCTCTATGTCCTAATAGTGCGGCAGCACATATGATGAGCCATCGCCAGTGCATTACTATGTTGTATCTGTATGACCAGCCTTTAGGAGCATTGATCCATGAATCCTCCTAATCGTGATCCATCCGTTGAACTCTAAAAACAGGCACTTACGAACCCCGGCATCCGACTATCCGTCTCTTTTGGTAGTAAGGACTTTTATTGGCAACGCCATCAACAAACACCACTGCGTCCGGAGAATCCAAACAATGCTGCACGGGATTTATCACGGTAGCACGCGGGCAGACATGCCGACTGGTCTCCCTTGCGAACCAATACCGACGCAGCGCCAGGAGGTAGCACCAGGGGGCAGTGGGCAGGGTGGAAGAGGGCGTCCATGGCGATCTGCACCGCGTATGGATCCTCCCGGGGGTAAGTGTTGAGATAGTCGCCGCTCCGCTGGACCTGCTCCATCTCCGGACACCGTTGTTGAAATCATTGTAGGTACATCAATGCACTCTCATCGACGAGTTCACCGGTACCATAGATTGATCATCCAACCTAATAAAGCACGGTAGCTCCCGGGACTGCTCCCCGAAATAGTCCGCAAAGCTAGACCAGGGGCGCGTGAATTGAAGCTGATGCTCGATACCGAGGCTATGGTTAAGCTTTTCAGTAAGCAGGTAGCTCTCGAGTCACGGAATGTAAAGTTAGATGCGGGTGAAACGACACGGATCACAAATAGAAGTGTGAGGGAGCTGCTGAATATAATCCGAGAGGCACCTTGGCACAGGTCTTTATTTATATGCGGTCGGAGGGTGAATGAGTTTCGTACAGGGGTGAAGGGAGTGAGAGCCTCTGGGAGTTTCACAATAAACAGTAATTAAATAGCCATTGCTGAAAGATGAATCAGCAGCGGCGAAGGTAAAGCAAGCTGGTTCGGACGGACCTAACTTACAAGAAGAAGCTCCTGACCCGGTCAACTGTTTCCTCCAAATTTGATCGTGAGTCCTGATGATGGTTGGCAGAGAGCTACAATGTGAGGTGGCCGATTCCATTGATAGAAACTGAGACACAACAGTTGGAAGAACTTGGCCAGACCCGGTTATTTGCCCAACCCTTCAAAAAGCTCGACGTGTTGTCGTGCATGATGCAGTGGTATTGTTAACGACCGTAGATGGTCCAGACAGGATACACAGAATCAACCCATATTTGCCTCTGTCGCACTCCACACGCTGATAGGACCAGCTAGCCATGGGCACTAAGCATTGACCGGGACTATTCGGATAAGTAACAGGCAACCAAGCCAATTGGTGGCCAGCAACACAGAAGAGGAAGTCTGATGAGATGAACACTCTTGAATGGACCATCCCTCCTAGAAAGTCAGTTCAATTCATGTCCGACAATAGATATCGATCCTAGGGACCGTGCGCAGCCCCGTCCCTGTCTTTACTATGTACATAGGAATGTCGGGCATCCGCCGGTGTACGGAGAACGTATGCGCCGTAACAAACCCCCCGCTTTACCACCCCGATACTCAAGGGTATGAGCGTCCACTCCTACTCGCTGTTGGTCACAAGCGCCACCCCCATTTTGGTCCCTGATCATGGCGATAAGAAGATCTCTCCGCAATGCATGTTATGATGCTCCGTGTCCGATTGAGGCTCCACAACTTTCCCGTTGAATTGCGTGCGGAACTGCTTGCGCCAGTAAAGGATGCAGTGAAGGGGGTGCCATTGGACACTCATGTGTACCAATGCCGTCGGCCAGTCCCCAAACTCCACCACCTCAATTCCATCCATAGGGATAGATGCACTCGCTATTCGCGTAGTAAATCCAAGTACCGTTGGGCCGGTCGCCTACGGTATTGGATTCCTCGGCCAACTCTTCCTCACTGTCGTGAGGTGGGAGCCAGGCCATTGCTAGTCCTTCAAACTTGCAGTCACACGAGATGGCCTCGGCGACGGATCTGCCGTATTCGCATGCAATGTTGCTCTCTATCCATGTTGCCGGGACGAATGCGGTGGCTGACGAAGGGGATGCGCACAGCAGAACGTTGAGACGTTGAACCTAGGTGGGACGAGCAACCGACCGTTGATATTATCGAAGAGACTACAGGAAGAATCAGTTGAGATCGCAACTTCGAACCGCGGGTAAGAAAGCTTACAAGACAATATTGCTGGTGATAAACCGCCATGGTATGGCCTTTGGTGGTCACATTGCTCGAAGACGTTGTCCATTTCGAATGCAAGGTGCAGGACTTCAAACTCTTCTTCCGCAGATATAGTGATGTAGCCACGACCAGCTTTGAGGATAAATGCATCATTGTGAAATCAAAGTGTTTCTGTGGGTGTACAATTTGTACTCGAGATTACTCACTAGGAAACGGGGAATACCAGTTCTTAAGGATCTGTTGCATCCTGGTCGTGTTCCACATCATCATCATAGACGAGCTCAGGACCAAGCCCAGCGGTGTTATCCAGGATTACGGGCTTTCACGGAACCGGCAGACAGAGGAGAGCTTTAGTACGGAGAAATCATTTGAATATCGTGTAATCATAGACGGTGGCCGGGTGATGCCTATGCGTTGGACGAAAGCTTCTCTTGTCGACTACATCCGTTTGGTCTGAACACCCCACATTTGATATCAGAGCCACGGCCAGGAAAACACGAGGAAGCCTTCGAAAAATAGACGAGCATCTGCATATTT